TCTCTCTCTCTCTCTCACACACACACACACACACAGCTCAACCCCATCCTCTAGTTTCAACTCCGCCCCCTTCAGTTCTCTCCACAGTTTAATAATGACGTGAGCGCTACACAACTTCTCACATCAACTTCTGACCCTAAAGACAGCAAAAAAAAAAAAATGGATCAACCGCTCCGACAGTCTTCTTTCTCTGCGTTCTGGGGGGTGAGTACCGGTGATCCGACCTCTCCCCTCCGAGCCTCCACACCACCACCCAGGTACTACGAAGGTTACCAGCCTTCATCACCGGAAGCGACTGCAACTCCTCCCACCTCACAGCTAACCCGAGAAGAACATCTCCAGCTTCCACTGCTCACCGTTGATGATCTCCACATGTTAGAGAGGGAAGCGGAGGCTGATCATTTCCAATGCGTCTGCAGCGAAACGTTAGCCGAGGATGTGGTGAGATGGCTCAGCTCGGCGACACCTCATCTGCCTCAAGACACCGCTGAGGATTCTGACGCAACACCGGAAATTTCGCTGCTGGATGTCGAGCCTCCACCATCGGCAGCACCAGCAGCCTCTCACTGCCCGATTGCAGAGTCAGGAGTGGAATCGCTTCATCCAACATGGCCTGAGTGGGGCCCTGAAGCCGGGGACTCGCTTCATCCAACATGACCTTCAGCGGGCCTTGAAGCCGGGGACTCGCTTCATCCAACATGGCCTTCAGCGGGCCTTGAAGCCGGGGACTCGCTTCGCTCAGCCAGGCCAGCAGAGGTCAGTCACATAGCCTCACTTCCTGCAGCTTCAACAACGCTGGAACCCTCGAGCAGCACCACTTCCTGTGGGGATTGGCTGGATCCAGAGGTGGTTAGAACAGCTAAGATGGCCATTCATTCTTCATCTGCTGAACATCACTCTGGACTCTTACGTTCGGGAGATATGTAACGGTTGTGTGATAAACCACCCTAGTCAGCTACAACATCTGTGTGTACGTGACGAGAACGCGTTTTACAGAGCTCACTATGAAGAAATTATAAAACGAGTCATGAAAGATCGATTCATATCCACCGTCCAGCTGATTCTTAGATCTCGTGGTTTAACAGTGGACGATAATGCAGTAAAAGTAATCACACAAACGTTGTTATTTCAACTCATATTCAAGCAGAATGTGTTTGAAACAATTTACGCATTATATGATTCCATGTCAGAGAATGAAGTAAAATGCTTAGAATCGTTCACAAACTTTTACAACACTGTGTAGAATAATCTTTTTGTTTTCAGCTGGGTTTTTTTAATTTTATTTTTATAGTGTGGTTTGAAATAGCTGATTTTAATGTAGTATGATTAGAAACTGTAGTTTTTATATTACAAAAAAGAAGTTTTTTATTCACGATCAACTGAATGTATTTCATTTGTAATGTTTTTTTATTACCAGACCAACTGAATGTAGTTTTTTCTAATGTTTTTTCCCTAATGTTTTTTTCTAATGTTTTTTCCC